TACCAGGAACTGAACTCACGACCTTGCACTTGCCAGGCAGGCGCTTTGCCGCTGAGCTAAATCCCCAGCCCCAGCATTTTTTTTTTTTTTTTTTTTTCACACGTGAAATTCTAAAACATTATCTAGAAGAGCCCCATGCATAAAAATAAAAGACCGATCACATTTTCAGTTTTCTTGTTAGAAAGAAAACGATAAAGGGCATGTGTGTTAGAATAATATGAATGTAGTTTTGTGTTATGGATTGTTGTTAATATATATGTAAAACAACATTGTAAATATATAATTACATAGGATTCAGTACATTCACACTGGTGTGCAGCCATCAGCATCATCTCTAATAGAATTTTGCATATTTCCCAACTGAAACTATAGCCCTGAAAGACTAACTCCCCACTCCTCCCCTTCCGCAGTCCCTGGCATAAAATACAATTTACATATGTTTTTTTAATTCCAAACAGTTATAGTAATACAGGCGCTAATGTTTTAATATAGAATAGTCTCATTGAGATTTAATTCATATACCACTACATTCACCCCTTGAAAGCAAACAGTTTAATGGTTAGTATATTTACAAAGTTGTATAATATTAGAAATAAACTAAATCTTAGAATTAGAACATTTCATAACCTTAGAAAGAAATCCCATACCCATTATCAGTCACTGCCCTTTCCTCCCACCCCTAGGTTCCTGATAATCAGTAATGTAACTTTTCTGTTTCTATGGATTTCCCTATTCTGGACATTTTATGTAAGTGGAATCACTCAATAGTATTGCCTCTTGTGTCTGGCTTCTTTCAATTAATATAGTATTTTTAGATTTCATCCATATTGTAGCATGTATTAGCAATTCATCCTTTCTATAGCCGAACTGAACATATGAGCTATTTCCATATTTTAGCTATTATGAAGAATCCTGCTGTGAACGTTTGCATGTAGGCTTTACAGAGGGTGTATATTTTCATTTCATTTGGGTAGATACCTAGAAGTGGAATAACTGGTCATGGCTGCATGATGCTACATCTCCATCCAACAGTATATGAGGATTTTAAATTTCTCGACATCCTCACCAGTATTTGTTCTTATGTGTCTCTTCCATCCCCTTTTTGATGGTACTGAGGATTGAACCTTAGGGCCTCATGTATGATAAGCAAATGTTCTACTACTGAGTGACACCCCAGCCCATTTTAAAACTTATTATTCTGAGACAAGGTCTCACTGAGTTGCTGAGGCTAGCCCTGGAATTCAGATACTTCTGCCTCAGCCCTTCAAGTAACTGGAATTACAGGCATGTGCCACCACAACCAGCTTGTTTGCCTTTTTTACTACAGTGCTAGACTTCCTTTAGTGAAGCACTTTTTATAACTAGCTCTAGCTTTTTTCTTTATTAAAATAATACATGTAAGCTTGGTATAGTACTGCATGCCTATAATCTCAGCACTTGGGAGGCTGAGGCAAGAGGATCACCATGAATTCAAGGCCAGCCTGGGCGATAATAGTGAGCTCAAGGCTAGTCTGAAATACGTAGTGAGACTCTGTCTCAATAAACAAACAAACAAACAAATGAATACATATATTGAAGTCCTCATAAATTTAATTTCTCAATATTTTGAGCAAAGCTATCATTTTGTATACTTTATTTCCTAAACAAGCCAATGAAAGGTTAATTTTAGCCCAGCGCAATTCAACCTATCTCAAATCAATGAAAATTTCAAGTACCTAACATATATAACAGGGTTAAGCTAGCAAGCTTTTTTCATGATATGGAGCTTTGTTGCTATATCATTTTAGCCTTTAAGGAAACAAGACTATTTGGAACAATGAATAAGGGAGAAAATGCTGCACAGTTAATGAGAAAATGACAATGATATTTCGCTACACCAAGATTCAAATATGTTGACTTCAAAGCTCAGAAATAGTAGAGGCATATCAGTCATGATAGAATCTGTCTTTATAGACACATTCATGTAATTGATTCTTGCATATTTCATCAATTCTAAGTAACTCTGCGTTAAATTCATGAGCACAGAAAAATTCCAAAGGTAGGAAGCCCTCACTGTCTGTAAATGCAAATTCCTAGGCAAACAAACTAGCACTGAAAGCCTACCAAGGATTTAAGGGCTTAAAAAAGATGAGAATGCAGCTAGAGACTGACCTCTGAGCTGCCAAGCTAGTGTGGGCGTCTGGTAAACAGGAGGACTCAGCTTCCCTCAGCCAATCTCTTTTTAGTGTCGAGAACATACAACGTTACAGCTGAACAGCTGGGGTATATATAGTTAAGAGCTGGGCAGTCACTTGCTTGAAGTGACCCAGCTGAATTAATAAGAGAGACAAGAATAGGAATCAGTATGGAGATTCCTCAAAAAACGACAAATAGAACCCAGATGTTCTGACACAAATCCAAATTCTTTGTAGTATTCATACTTTAGCTTTTACCTTTATTTTATTTTTTATTTTTTTTTGGTTTTTCTCCGGTACCGGGAACTGAACTCACGACCTTGCGCTTGCCAGGCAGGCGCTTTTGCCGCTGAGCTAAATCCCCAGCCCCCTAGCTTTTACCTTTAAATAGATTATAATGTTTTAAATCTTAAAAGAAATGTTTGTCTTACTTGGCAGTTCTGATCTCATACTTGCAGTGTCTCTGTCTAAGGATGATAAATAACAATTCAATAGCCAAAGGGTAAACAGAGCTATATTTCTTATCTATTTGAAATCGCAGAAATAATCAAGATTTTTAAATATTATTATTGTGCATAGAAAGCATTTTATACTAAAGTAGCACTCTTATCTGCCAATATAAATTCCAGGCAATCTAAAAAAAATGCTAAGAGGCTCTTGTAGTAAATTAATATTAAATTCTCTTTGCTAGAATAGCAATCCATTTTCTAATGTTTAAATACTACCAGGGAAGAAAAAAACAAGAACAGTTATGCACAAATAAATCAGGTGCTCTATCATGCTGCTTGTTTAAACCAGGCAAGGTTTAAACAACAGTTCAGTTCACAAACGAAATTCAACTCAATTCAAATTGATGTCTTCCCAAGAAAATACTTCACCTAATTGAGATGCAGCCTTAAC